AACCTGAAATTATTTTATAAATCCAAAGTACAAAATACAAAACCATGCCGCAAGTGTATGAATCCAAGGAAGCTATATATAAGATGATTTCCACAATATATAAACAAGAACAATATAAGACAACCATGGCTTTCCATAAGTACTCTTGAGTGCCAAAGACGGTACCGGTAAGTGCAAGTGCTCCTTTGCGTCATCACTTAATAATAATGTTGAAATTTTGAATTTTACAGCCACATATGTGTACATTGTATCATAGTTTGGGGACCTTTCTGTTGAAAATGTGTCCGAGTTAAATCGTATACATATACATGCACAGTGCGTTAACTGGAGTGCAGGTATTATTTACCCGCACTCCAGAGCATGCCCATTGATTGGCTCATCTGTGCTGGGGTTTACATATTGTGACGGAAGAGAAAGGGAAAGCGACAGAAATATCAAATTCAGATGCTCGTTCATTGGTTACTTATTCCCGGGTTTTCATATTATGACAACAGGGAACGTGTTTTTATGTTTGACTATGACACAAAAGAGAAAGAACATCAAAACACTCGGCAATCTGATTAATAATCGGGGCTACGCCCCCTCGTACAAATCAGATAGCCTCGTGTTTCGATGCTCTTTCTATTACAAATACGACGGTATTCATGGAACTTTAAATGTTACACATTCGAGGTGCCGTTCAATGGAATTTGAACAAAGATATTAGAGGTTTTGATGTCGTTTTGCGACAGTTGTTCTGACAGACGAATGCAGTCTTGATAACAGACTATTTCTCCCATCTATCTTACATTGTTATACTATTCTACGTTTAAATTACGGTCACTAAATTTCAATATTGCTGTGTTTTTATGATAATTAATCCCCAACCAGTCTGAAATTCCATTTTATAGTCTGATCCGCGCAGTCTGATCAGGATCCATGCTGTTCGCTATCAGTTTCTCTACTTGTAATAGAGTTGGTAAGCGAACAGCATGGATCCTGATCAGACTGCGCGGAGGCGCAGGCTGGTCTGGATCCATGCTGGTCGCAAACCCACTATGTTGGTTTTGTCGTGACGCGGCTCATTTGATTTCTGTTTGTTACTCTGTTAGTGTTTTGAGTGGTTCAGGAGCTGTGTGACTGATTGCTGTCAGAGGCTGTGTTCTGCTTTCTCTTGTAAATCTTTGTATACATATTTCATTATTTGAGTGATCATAATTTCTTGCGTGATCTTAATAAATGGCTATAAATACAATGTTTATTTAATTCTGTGTCCTGTTTAATACGGCAGTGTATAAGAGCTTTATGTTACTGACATAGATATTCATATACGCAATTAGACAGTCAAAACCAGCTCTTTTGCTAGTACTTTTTAATTAGTTACATGCAACTTTATTTACGGCACATATTAAGGAAAATAGGACAGCTTAACTTGATTTCTTTTATTCAAAAGCACTTACACTAAAAATTAAAAAAATGGATTGAAATGGAACAAGATGAACAAGATAGAGCGACGTTCACAGAGCGCAGTTTTGTCCCAGACTATCCCGAAGCAAGATTTCACAAGAACACGGTGCAGCATTTCTCTTAAGTTAAAACGCGAAGAATGTGAAACCGTGGGGAAAACACCATGTTAATGTCCAATCACCATATCGCGTCTCCGCGCTTATGATTCTGTATCAGCCAAAATATACTGTGGATTTATTTCTCTACCTTCGAATACCTAAAAAATATATGTATGAACATTGTAACATTAATATTAATATCCGAAACTTTACCTGTTTTACTGAATTGTGTCCAAGTACTATAATATAAATTGTACCGCTCGTGGTAGGTTTAATCAAACCAAGCCACATTTTCAGTTTGCGGCTTTGGGCTTGTGTGACTGATTAAGGTTTCCCCTATTTTTAAGTTATTATTGGCTGTTTTGGATTTCTTTACTACTAACTGTCCTCAATGTTGTAAGATGATAAACTCAAAATTGATACGGAGTGTAATACAAATTGAAACAAGAAGATATTTATTCTTCTTTGCAGTTCTTTCTTCATCATGTATAGTACCTGTATGATTATTATATTTTATTAAGATGTATCCACACTTACATTGTATTAACGTACGTGGAAATTCATGGCCGAGTTATGAAATAAAAAAGGCAGTTTAGAAATTTCATCCAATGACCACAGATGTAAAAAATATCCAACTTGTTAATTTCAATTTTGAGAATTTAAACGGACTCTTAGCTGTATCTGGAGTGGACATTATGCACTTCAGTTTGTATGTTAGGTTCTCAGAATTTCTTTTTTACATTTTATTTTTAATGCTGAAATAATCGTGTGTTGAATTACTCTGCAATATGAAACAAGTCACGTTTAGTGCTGGTATAATTTTATACATTCGCTAATAAATTTTATAATATAAATCAAATAAAACTCTTTATTCAGTAAATTTTCAAAACATTTCAAATTCAAAAGTTTATTGTATAAAGGATGTATATACAATGCCTATATTGCACAATACATTGCAATTTAACATTTTCAGGATATGTAACACAGAAAGTACATAAAATGTTTGCAGAAAAGACAATAATATATGTATCAAGAACGAATTAAACAATTTAAATATTCAGTAAAATAGAGTTGAGATTTTTTTTAATCTTCGACAGATCATTACTCGGCGAATAATATAAATGATAAAATTCTCCTGTAGATTATTGATATTACGATAATTTATGTACAAAATGTATGTTTTTAAAAAAAAATTCTCTGTTTTTCAATTGAGCATTCAATTTATTGAAATTGCATTAAAATTTCACATTTATTCTTTGAAGTCATTTAAATTGACACCAATAACATTATCAAATAGAATAATAAAGCTTGTCAAATGCAACCGATTGTCGCTGATACATGTGTTACACCAGGAAATGTTTTACCATTACACCGTTTACGTCATTCTTTCTATTTCCAATAAGGCTGCTTATACTGAGTTTGAACGATTAAAAAAAGTGGAATATTTTGTATCTGTTAGACTTTGAAGTATGATAATTTGGACCCAAGGTTGTATAAAACAACAGGTAATGTAGGCTGTTTCTTCTAAACTTTTCTAGTTTTTGCTCCTTAGCAAGCGTCCGTGTTGGACTTGGAAAATGGGAAAATAAATGCCTGTCCAAAATTATCTCGATGTCTGTTTGACATGTCTAATTGGAGTATACGTTGAAGAAATCGCCATTTTTTTCTTAGAGTCCTTTTTTTAATTGTATTGAAGTATTGAAGTAATTTCTTGGTTTCCTTGTTTTGAATTCAATTGCCCCCCACCAGTTGTCGTCGGCTGGTATCACATGAAAATTTATTGACCTCCGAATATAATTTCTCAAAGAATATAAATTTGCCGGTGTTAGTGAAGCCATCTTTACTGTAACTGACTGCGGCAGATTTTCCAGCACGGTAATAAAGTTCTGGTAAATTTCTGCAGACAATATTATCCACGACAACTCCACACGTTCAATATTCAACATGTCACGTGACAGTAACAATGAACTGGCATCTAGTTTTATAGACGACAACGTAACATTTACTAATGACGGTGTTGCTATATTTAATTGTAGCCTAGGTAACTTCCGCATTTCTAACTTTGTAAGAGTTGAATGTTGAGACAAGTCCAGGTTCAATCCCTTACAACCATAGCGGTCATGCCCTTTACAGTTTAAGAACTTCAATGTTAAATCTTTCATTGATTTTTGACCGGAGATAAAATTGAAAAATGTTTCCAGTATTTTTTGAGATAATGTGAAGTGGTAAATATGTAATAGAAAGAGCACCGAAACACGAGGCTATCTGATTTGTACGAGGGGGCGTAGCCCCCGAGTATTAATCAGATTGCCGAGTGTTTTGGTGTTCTTTCTCTTTTGTATCATAGTCAAACATAAAAGCACGTTCCCTGTTGTCACAATATGAAACCCCGGCAAAAATGAACCAATGAACGAACATCTGAATATGACATTTCGGTCGCTTTCCCTTTCTCTGCCGTCACAATATGTAAACCCCAGCAAAAATGAGCCAATCAATGGGCATGCTCTGGCGTGCGGGTAACTAATACCCGCACTCCAGTTAACGCACTGTGCATGTATATGTATACGATTTAACCCTGACACATTTTCAACAGAAAGGTCTCCAAACTATGATACAAGTAAGTATTGTAAGTTTTGTACTCGCGCCAAATTTTCAATCAGGTTTTCGTCATCATTTGTCCATTTACCAGTCATCAAAGTTACGTACTGTAAACTGGGAAAAATTATCCGATTTAACTCAACCTCCTTCTCCTCGTCATCCTCATAGTAAAATTTCTGTATATGACTGAGATCTACGAGGGAGAATAAATCTATAATTTCACGTAAACTGCTAGAAGTACGGCTGGTGTTTATATAAAGCGATTTTATGTTGGTTTTATTTTGTTTTAACAAACATTGTAACCGCTCACTGTGCACGGTGCTCCCGTCAATGAAGAAATCTTGTAAACATAATTGAATATTTTCACTTTCAGGCATTTCTTGTAAACACGACATGAACAGTTTCTGTATGTTATACAATGGGTTACTGTACTCGACACCTGTCCTAGTTCTATAGTTGCGTGTTATTTCGTCTTCATTTATCACAGACATCAAATCATTTGATATCACACACATCCAATCAGCATTCATTTCACTTATAAATTCATAGATTTTTGACATGTCTAGAATATCTTGATTAGTTCTACATTTTTCTAGAACAGTTTTCTGAGCCTCATTTTCAGAACTTATCAATATTGCGGCAAAGAATTCCTGAACTGTTTTGTGGCAAAATGATACTTTACTATTCTTTTTTGTTAGTGTTTTTGTTGTGCTTTCTGACAACATTCCTGAGTGAAGGATGAATTTTATTTCGTCTATTGAAAGATATTTTCTAGCAACTGATCCATCAAATACTAGTGTGTTTTCTCTTGTTTCATTGAATAACGTATAATAAGCTAATTTCCCTAAACACATCAGGAGTGGGTAGTATTTCGTACAGTTTTCATATTCAGCGAGGCATTCTGGGATATCACTATCAGAAAGGTCACACAATTGTTGAAGATCCCCATGCTTCTGAATCGTTCTTGATAAGAGCAGTTCTACTATATTTATATAAAGTTTATATTTTGAGTTTTCTATTAGAACACCGTCACACCATAAACAAATTGTATATATCAAAAGGAGAGGCACACAAGTAAGTTCGTCGTTTTGTCTGCTTTCGATACCTGATATGAACGCTGTGACATCACTTTGTAATGCATCCTTATTCGGATGAGATTTCAATCTTTGTAATATCCTTTCTGTAAGCGTGACTGCTGAGTCGTAACTTAGTTTTGTAAGTTCTACCTTTTTTCCTATTTGACACGAATTTAGATTCAAAACCCTTAATTTCCATGGTCGCGTAGTGGTCAGTATTGTACACTTTTCTCGGTCATTCCTATGGGGCATTGATCGCGCAGATCTGTGGCATTCCTTTTCGGGGTGGGTCCATTCATCTAGCCCATCAAGTATAACGAGGCATTTCTCATTTTTCAAAATTTTAAGGAGAAAATTCTCGGAAGGCTTTTCTTGTAGACCCAAATTTGAAACAATCTTTTTAAATATGAGATCATCTATAGAACATAAATCGTTCGAATCTCGCAGTAAGACCAGAAATAAGAAATCGAATCCCTGCATACAGTATCATCATTTTCAAAGAATTGAGTCATGTTTTCATCTGGGAAATGAACTTGACACCACGTGTTCGCCAGATAGTTTGAAAATGCAGTTTTTCCGAGGCCAGCATCAGCAATAACATGTATTTCTCGGTGAGCTTGATTTCCGGTTTTAAATATCGCCGATAACGATTTGACTGGTACTTTTTCACAATTTCTCGTCTTTGCTGAGATTATTAAGTTCAATTCAGGTCTTATGTAGAAAGAAGCCAAAGGTGTGTCATTTTCTTCGGAAAGGGCGACAGGAAAACTTTACTGTGTCTCGTTTTGTAGAATTCAATCAAACCATCTTTGAGCTCTAAAAAAAGAATTGTAAACTGTTAATAATTCAGGAATATAAACTAATGATAAAAAATGATGCTGAACTTTAAACTTCTATGTAATAATTATCGATGTGAATAGAAAAACAATTTACAGGGCTCCAATAATTGTTTCACATTGTTACACGTATTCAAAGTGTGCGCTTAATTATTAAATATTCATTTATTTGGTTATGTGTTCTATTCTGCACATTTGTACTGAGATATACGACAGGGTCTGAATTTCATCACTAGTACTCACTTAGAAACTAGACATAGCCGCCACATGAAGTCTTTTTCGTCAAATGTTATCATCCAATGGAAAGGAACAATGCCCTATCGGGACGCAGTATGCTATATGCGATAGTATGTTATGTATTTTTCAGCATGGCTTTGCAACACCGCACTTTGGGGTCCAACGCACATTGAGGTCAGACCCCAAAGTGCGTTACGTACTTTGGGGTCCAGCCCCAAAGCGTTACGCACTTTTGGTCCAATTCTGACCCAAAGGTGAGTTACATGGGCACATGAGCATTTTTAACATCAAACAAACGACCGCGCTTTAGAGTCTTAAAAATTCAATCAATAAAAATGAATTTTCATGATGTTTTAAAATCAAAGTCAATGGTAAACAAAAATCAAGGTAGAAAAAAGACGAATTGCATAAAATCGGATAACAATAGCTGATTATAGTTAATTTTATTTTGTTAAATCTAACGGTTACAATTGATTTTATCCTAATATTCAATTATGTATTTCAAAGAATAATGTGCCTTGAATGATAGTAGAAATAATAGAAACAATAGGGATAGTAAATGATCTTGTTCAGTATAAGGAATTTGCATCAACCTAAGAGCTAGAAATATTTTTCTCTCATGTCCGATTTTTTTAAAAGAATGTACACATTTTATTAACTCCATTGTTTTAGCTAATTGCACAATTTTCCCGTTTTTTATTAACACACTTTGTTCATGGCATAGACAAAGGTATAAATTCTGGGCAATCTTTATCAAAGGGGTGCCTGGTTATAAGTTTATTGGGCCATTGATTTAGCTTATCTAAAAGTGACATGTAAGAAACTTGACTGGGTGTAGATTCGACCTTCAGCTGTAGTCAGTACACAGCAATACTTAAAAATAGCATTTACTATTTAAGTAGTCACATATTAACAGCGGAACTTTATTATAATGTAAAGTTCTTACTGGGGATCTAGAGCACCATCGTCGGATACCCACGGCCGAACCATTAACATGCATGTTATGTAACATGTTTATCAATCGTGGGTATCCGACGATGCTAGAGCACAGGCGCTAGTCACATAATCCAATAGTTTACATAACCGGAAAATATAAGGCCCCCAACGAAACAAAACATCATGCGGAACAAGCAAGAACACTGCTGCAAGAAACGACTAGATCACGGTTATCCCTTTCTGGTCGCAATCTGAAAGCATCAATCCAAGTGCCAACGCTTTTTATTTCATAAAAATCTCTCAAATAGCAAAGAAATTGGGAAAAATTTCGCAAAAGGCCATTATTTTCAATTCATGTCGTTTTCGACGTAAAAACACGATTTCTGGTCGATTTTTAAGAAATAAACAAAAAACGGCTAGAATTTCCACGTACGTTCCATAAACAAACTCTTTTCCTATCGATCTGCGAAGTCGTCTTAACTGATCAAAAGCCATCTTCATACGTAATTCATTAAAAATACACAAGGATCCCGCTTGTGACAGTATTTTATCGCCATGTATAGCGCATGTATATACTGTTCCGCTCTGAATATTATATAAGGATTTGACTGGTTAAGATAATTATCGGAAGACAATTGACCAATCGTATAATACTATTTCTTTGCTTCATTTACCTGTCACTTCAAAATCAAAATAACGCACTTTTCTTGACCTTCGCTTTTACAACCAATATTTTTTAAATATTTGCGTACAAAGAGGGCTCTAGTTCAATTTAGACTTCGCAGATTGATAGAAAAAGAGTTTGTTTATGACATTAATGAGGAAATTTTAGACGTTTTCTATTTATTTCGTAGAAATCGACCAGACATTTGTATACCTGAATAGATTGGAAGTCGAAAACGACATGGATTGAAAAGATTGGCATTTTGAGAAATTTTACTCATTTCTTTGCTATTTGAAGAATTTAAATGAAATAAAAAGCGTTAACACTTGGATTGATCCTTTCGAATGTCCACCCAAGAGATAACCGTGATCTGGTCGTTTCTTGCAGCAGTGTTCTCGTTTGTTCAGCATGATGTTTGTGTTCTGTTGGAGACCTTATATCTTATTATTGTATATAGCCCATATAAAACTGTTTAAAAGGCCCTTTATGCTTTTAGTTGTATTTCTTAAATTTTGGTGTACTTCTATAATATCCAAAACGTTACTCATTGGCCAATTACCTGAACCATCTTTTTCATCTGTTGCTTTTTGGCAATAAGTACAGTTATAGTGAATTAGTATTTTATATGGAAGTCAAATACAAGCATCTTACATGATTTCTATGATACCATTATTTAAACATTGTAAAATTCATGTTGCCCTTTCTAAAGAAGTAACATTTTATATGTTTCTGAGGCATAATGTGCCTTTATGTGAAAACTCAATAAAAATTGACTATCACCCCTGAAAAATCAAGGGGGCACCCTCTGGCGAACGGTTGTTATGGAGCTGTAAAAAAGACTTAAGTTTGTTGATAAGTGTAATACTGTATTCATAAAGATCACTTATTATAGTCCGATCGAGAAACGTAATATTTTACCAGAACATTTCAATAAGGTATTTTTACTCGTAGTTCTTTGGAAAAAAAATATTAACTACATTTTAGTAAATCCCCATCATATCTAAAATGGGGATCAATATAGTAAAAAAAAAACACTTTCAAGTGAATGGCTGACAGATCAGGATCTTTTTCGAAGCATCTTTATTTTTTGGAATACATTCCAAATTCATGAACTATAGTACTTTGTTATATGGACACAATTTTTAGATATTTCAAGTGTTAGAATTTATAAAACACTTATCACTAAAGCATCAGTCATATTACTGCAGCTACATCAGAATTTAAATGGCACTGACAGTAAGATTGATGTATATAAGTATCGACCGTCGTCTTGAACTCCGCCTCAAATATTTCAATATCGCAGATCGAAAAAAGTCTGTACTCAGTATTTAGGCAGAACTCAGTTGACACTTTGAGAACTTTGGAGGCCAAAGTGCGTTGATATGTAACATATCAACGCACTTTGGGGTCAATTTCTCGATTTTGACCCCAAAGTAGGTTGGACCCAAAAGTGCGATGTGAAGTGTGACGCACTTTGGGGTCTGACCTCAAAGTGCATTTGATCCCAAAGTGCGGTGTTTCATGGCTTAATGCTGATGGATATATGCGGCAATATGCCATTATATTTTTTTTCGCATAGCATACTGCCACTGTACGGAATGCAACAGTTTGCGAAGACCTTTTATTTCTGTTTATTTGTCTCTTATTTGAAATCAACCAATCAGATGTTTTATTATAAATATCTGATCATTGTCTGTTATTCTTTTTATACTTGTTGTTCTGTGTAAACCATATATCAGCTCTTACTTTGTCTTTGGATAGACAGAACAACAGTATACATTTTTAAAGGCTACAGATCATTTGTTATCAGTGGACAATATAAAAAGAAAACTGGGCTAATAAATTATTATAATGGTGGCTACGGGTTTTTCGCTCAGACTGAACCTCTTTCCTGATGTTTGACTCCAACAAAGATTATTAGGAAACTTATTCATTGAATTTTATTACCAAGTGTTTTGTATACATCTGACCTTTTATTAAACTTAAAGTTGTACAAGTAATAATAGTCCAGTACCGTTAGTTAAATTGATAAATGATTATACAGCTCAAGGCTGTGTCATAATTTCAAAAAGACATTACGCCTCTAGAATCTGTATGGAAAGGAGCGATAACTCGCCCTGAATTAAGCTCAGAATTATAGTTTCCCACTATTAACAAGAAACACTACACATAACATTATCTATGTCATCTAGACAGTTTATATGAAATTTACTTCGTGATTCTTGCAAGGTATATATATATGGAATATGAAATATAAACTCCCGGATAAACCAAAATTAGAATATTGAAACCAATTGTTGGTATAAGAATTCGGTAATTGATTTTGTTCGAAATCTTTACTACCCTTCCTGCAAAATGGAAGGTCTTTTTTGTTTTTATTGTTTGGGTCTTACGTCACATGGACACAGTATAGGTCATATCGCGACGTTCCAGCTTTACTGGCGGAGGAAGACCTCAGGTGCCCCTCCGTGCATTATTTCAGGCACGAACGGGCACCTGAGTAGAACTACAGTCGTTCCGTAAGCTAGCTTGATAGCTTCATCACATGAAAAAATCCAAGTCCTGTCGAGATTCGAACCCACAGCCGTGAGGGGCAAGTGGTTTGAAGTCAACGACCTTAAGCACTCTGCCACGGACGCCCCTAAATGGAAGGTCTAGGCGATACTTATTAACTATTGTAACAGTTGTTTCGAACATTTTTTATGTCCGTTTTTAAAATATGGTTACTTTCGTTACTTTCCGAGTGTAAATATCGACAATGTGTTAATATAATATATATAGTCGGGAAATAAAAATGCCATGTACGAGTAGTATGCCTGGTAACACTTTAAGGAAAAGTAAAAATTCTTTTTTTGGTCTTGTAAGTAATTTGTTTGAATAACAGAGCACTTGTTAAATGATACCTCGTGCAATGGTAGGTTCAACTCATTATTGCATAGGTGATTTTGTATGTTTTGTTACGTTTTTTTTCAAGTACAGTGGCATTTTCCCTTCCACTTTTAGTTCAGCACTCACATTTTATGTATTTTAACCAGGCGGCACTAGGCAACACTTCAGAATAGAAAATTAACGGTATTCGACTACTGACATTTAAGTTTTTGACATGTTGTAACACTAGGTTTTTCCAGTTCAGTTTTATGTACCGGAATAAAGGAGATTACATCCGGCAAAACTGTTTTTTATTATTTTGCCACACCGTACTGGTTATTTCTTACTGCACACACAAGGCTAAGTATTCAGGGGTCATTACTTCATGTTTAAAGCATCTCCTATTGGTATCGAAGGTTGCCACAAACTTTCATTGAAATCCAGTGAGTACTTGCAGAGAAATATTGCGGAAACAAATGTTACTCTGTATACAAAGCACATCGCTAATCAGGGGCTATAAATCTGTTTTAAAAAGTCCGACCGGGACAGTCTAATAACATACGCATCTCCTCCTGGTGTTAGAAGTACTCACAGACTTTATTGAATTCATCTGGGACATGATATTTAGGTGTTGTTAAGAGAGGATTCGGCTCAATGGAAGACCGTTGTAAAGAGTTCCACTGTATCTTTCAGTCATAGTTTTTACTTGATTCAAAACAATTACGAACATCAATGAGGCATCCTAAAAAGTGATTATAAGTTTCTAGTCCGACGCGTTAACCAGTTGGTAATGCCACCAATTAAAATTATTGAAGATGGTTTTCGTAAGCATGAAATACCATGAATTAATGAACGTTTTAGATGAACAAAAAAGTTTGACTCTTTCCTAGTAACTATAGCACAAAAGCCACGACAATTGCTTCGTTGAACGGTTTTCAGCGTTATTCATTCTTGCTGATGAATGGATGTCGATGTTATCATTAAAAAGAGGCGAACGGGTGCTGACTTTACTCAAGTTGTGAAGACATTCAATTTTTAATACCCTATACCGGTATCTTTTAAAGAACAAGCTTTTTTGATAGTATGGTTTGGAAGTTTTAATGACGAAATGTTTACATTTACGAATCGTATCTTAAAATAATATATTGACCCGCTGTCGACGGTTGAACGGCTGTCTGCCCATTTGATTGTACGACGTGAGGTTTAAAACATTAAGAATAGGATATGGCGTTAGAATTCGAATTTATAAACTTTTTTCCTCGCTGTGCCATTTTAGGACATTAAGTTGTGACTCAGTCGTACACGGAAACGTTCGAGGCTGTAGATGGTTACATTAAGAGCGCCGACATCAACTTCCGGGTCAAAAATGAAATCGACGAACGCGCACGCCGATTTCCAGGCACACCTCCGCGTATTTTACTAATTAGATCGTTGAATAAGAATCAATGAAGTATGCTGATCTTGAAAAAGCTGAATAAAAAAGCAATAAAAGTCTATTTTAGTTAATAATGTTTCGTTTGTTTGTTTGTTTTTGTTTATTTTACGCCTTTTCCAATAGTATTTCAGTCATATAGGCGGGTAGTTTCCTAACCATCGTTACCTGGAGAGTTACACCAGTACTAGACTTCCTTCCTCCGCGCTAAACTACGAAAGCATCTCCCGGGGATCGAACCCACGCCAGAGAGGTAACTGGATTAGAAGTCATCGACTCTAACCCCTCTACCACGGAGGCGGTTAGTTAATAATGTGTGGTGACCATTAAATTTTTGTCTGTAGCAAAAGTGTAGGATTTGTACATGCATTTATTTAATTGTCGATTTTCGTTATATTTCGATTCTCGAAAAGCAGACGTCAAATAATGTTAACCTAATTACAGACTCAATTTATCTATGATTACCAACTTCGTTTCCATGAGCCCCTAGTTCAATTCCGACAAAATTTCAAAATCGTCGGCAATTAACTTGGCATACTAATGTAATTACTATACATGTATATTATGACGTAATTTGCATAATAAAATATTAACATTCCTCGCAAAGGAAAAACAAATACAATTATGTGTTTAATGTATGTATTTCTGAGTTTCTTTGATGTAATGTATTTCGAATGTATTGTTTATAATTCATATTATCGGGCTGCAATAAGGGCTATTATATCATGAAATCTATTTTCGATATTATTTTATGGATGGAACATTTCAATTTACTTTCAGGCAATCATAATTATTAATTACAAACTCGTTGAATATAATCAGACACTTACAATCATTACATATGATTTTATATTCTAAGTTTTCAGTTAAATTTTTCAGGTTCTTTGGGATCATTGATCCAAGAATATCAAGTGTTGAAAATTAAATACCACTATAAAAGCCGGTGTAAGGAGACGCGAAAGATGTTGCACTTTTCTATTTTTGGTCATGAATAGACTTCATCAAACCGAGTCTACAATTTCCATTTATTTTGTTGACTTCCACTGCTTCTTAGGGATCACCTCCATTCCAGACGCGTACACATATAGTTGATAATTTACGTTCCTTCAATGAATAGATTTGAATAACACATTTCATTTTATTTTTTAAATAAATTGGGGCTTTGACGGGGAACAATTATTTTCAACAAATTTTGCGGCATAATACATCTGTAGATCTAGTTATTTTAGCGTGTAAGACTCGATGTTTTCACAACTTATCGACACAACTTCATGTCGCAGTCGTTTTTGGAACTGGCAAATTATTTGGACAACAGTCGCCGCCCTTGTAACCAGACTCGATGAAGATACTGTTGCGAGAAAGATGCGAACAACTCCAACACCCTGTGAAAGGTGAAATGTACTGACGACAGACTGTAAATCAAGAGCGATGTTTTGCTTAATATCATGGTTGAGCAAAATAAAACTTACCCTTCTTGTCATTTTGATACTTTCTCTCCTCTGTATGTACTGATGAATCGATTTCGATACTTCTCCCTGTTATGAAATACAGACAATACAATAATAAATTATGTTGAATTTAGTCAATATTACCACTATAGTTTCAACCTTATTCTTTCTAGTAGCATAAACTTGAACTGTCAGTAAATGTTACGAATACCCTCGCGTACAGTCTTTATTCCTAAACCAGAGCGACAACTAGCATGGGCCAAACAAAGTATTCCATTATTCGGACTACGGACCGATTCCGGGTTTTATGCAGAATTTTGAGATATCGGAGCGGAATACTGCATGCGAAACTTTTGAGCGATTCGGAAATTTGAACTTTCTGAATGACGAATTAACACGAACGTCATACTTGAGCAACATCACATTAAAGTTTTGTCAAGCGTTGTTATGATCAGATATGATCTACGCATTAATAACAAACATGCCAAATGTATGACATTTAAATAATGTTACTTTTAAGGTCAATGCCATACTTTAATTTATAGATTAACACAATTAACGTATTTATTATAGGCGATAGTACATTCTTAATCAGAACAGTCTATTAATTATAAAATAGATTGCACATTTAAATGATTTTGCTCAACCTGTCTATGTCATTGTAAGGTCAATGTCATAACTGAACTGCTTACCAAGACAATTATATGGTTTGTCCAAGTATCTAGAACTCCATTGATAAAAGGGTATGTCCAATTTAAGAAAGAATTAAACAATAAGGGAAATACCATAATTATACCGGTCAAGGCTAGCGAAAGCCAAGATAAAGTTCAGTGTGACCTACTTGAAGACATTAACTCATAAACTGGCCTAAAAGAAAAGGTCACATCAAAATAATTTTTTTTAAACCAATTTGACCTTAAAAGTCAAGGTCATTTGATGCTTAAGGAATGACTTGAGGTTCTCATCATAATCGATTTTGGATAATTGATCAAGTATCAACAAATCCACTCGTTAATTACAAAATAATGGCTTATCTGAGCAAACTTCAACAATATTTTTATCATTCAGGTCAATGTCAAATTAAGATCAAGATCACATTAAGTTAATCAGCCTAGAGGTATTGTTAAAAGGGTTGTTATGTCAAAGTATGAATACTGCACAAACATAAATGACAAGTTAAAGTCAATTATAACCAATTACAGCAAATAGGACTTTAATTTAAAGGTCAATGTCATTGATTTGTCAATTCATATTCCTATCAATATGAGCAAGACACAGACAACCAGACGGTCTAACATGCAGTCAATCTCAAGCTTATATACACCTCTAACAACTTTTGTTATGCGGGCTGTGAATAAATAAATTACATAATTTAAAGTACATTCATGGATGGTAAATGAATCTAAAATAACAAAGTTTAAAGTAAATAATAATTGAGTAAGGATTTTCTTTTGGAAGGAGTTATTTTCTTGTATCATCCCATTCAAATAATAAATGAGTAAGGACTTCCTGTTGGAAGGGGTAATATGGTTGATTATAATTTGTCAAACGTTGACATCTTATTTAGAGATATTTAATGAGCAAGTTCAAGACACAAAACTGAAAGAAACTGTTTCATATTGATGTAATTATTCAATAGTTATCCATCGCTCGTATCATCCCTGAGATTGATTGATTAAACAACTACTCACAAATGTTATCAATTTTCGGTTACATTAATAGATTCCGCGATACATTTTCAGATTCTCTTGAAATTACTGGTGAAATATTGTTGATTTACTTTAAATTTTAACGGCAAGATATTGAATCATTTATATGAACAAAGTGGAAGAAATTGATTATAAAAAATCATGACATTCAAAATGTTTACCAAATCTTCGATATAAGCAATTTTTGTTTTTCTTCACTGTAATATTGGTGATATTCCTGACAATTGTTTGGGAGGGAATTATCTACCATGTCAAATCGACAAGCGGAGATTTACAAAAGTGTCAAAAAGATTATAGAAATAAAAGAGTTGATATGTAACGGATTGGAAATGTCAGGAAAAGAATTTATTTATAGAATGCCTTATAAGAATTATCGCCATTGACAAGAAAGCTTGTCATATAAGTTTTATTGCATTTGTTTGTATTCTTGTTAATATTCTTTTCTCTGTCTTTCAAATATTATCTCAATAATGTCCATTTCATTAAACAATGTAGTATTAAAGCTTAAAAAAATAACAAACCTGCCCCTTGCCGTCTTTTGATCTTATCAAGGTCTTTCTTCATATCAGTTACATTTTCCTTTATGTCTTCAATGTCTCCCTTCACCGCAGTATCATTATCTTTTACGTCTTCAAGGTCTTTCTTCACATCAGTTATATTGTCTTTTATGCCTTCAAAGTCTTTGTTCAATTCAGTTACATTTTCCTTAACATCTTCAAGGTCTTTCTTCACGTCATTTACATTTTCTTTCACGTCTGCCATTTTCTGTTTCAGTCGGTCAACATCGGCTTCATAGTCCTTCCACTTTTTTTATTTCTTCCTGTATCCTTTTGTCTTCTTCCAGATCAAGAGGACAAGTTTTAAATTCGTCGATTGTTTGCTGAATATTCAAAGCTGGAGAACTTCGGCGAACAAGTATCTAAAACCGGAATTTAATAACAACTTTATCATTTAAGTTTCGGCGTTTGATGATCTTTATAAGTGTTTTTTGAAAATGTTGACCCGACAAATTATCTCTTGTATCATAGTTTTGGGACCTTTCTGTTGAAAAAGTGTCAGAGTTAAATCGTATACATATACATGCACAGTGCGGTAACTGGAGTGCAGGTATCAGTTACCCGCACTCCAGATAATGCCCGTGGATTGGTTCATTTTTGCCGGGGTTTACATATTTTGACGGCAGAGAAAGGGAAAGGGGCAGAACTATCATATTCAAATGCTCGTTCATTGGTTAATTTTTTCTGGGGTTTCATATTATGACAACAGGGAACGTGCTGTCATGTTAGACTATGATACAAAAGAGAAAGAACACCAAAACACTCGGCAATCTGATTTATACTCGGGGGCTACGCCCCCTCGTACAAATCAGATAGCCTCGTGTTTCGGTGCTCTTTCTATTACTTAAGACATGAAAAACAAAAATGCTGAACAAGACTGTCATGATGACCTGTACATCGCTCTCCTTATTATAAAGGCTCTTGATGACAATGAACAACTAACACGGTTTACTATGAACAAAAAGCAGATATTAAGCATAACTTTATACTGATATAAAAAAGTCATATCTGCGTCTGAAATCGTGTAAATGTTTACAGGTTGTTATTGCTAAGAAAACATCATAAATTATTAAAGAATTCACTTGTGGCTATACAAAACCATTGATATCCTTGGAAGTTAGTGGTTACTTTGAAAGTCAGTGGTTGATTCCCACGATTAAAAGTCATTAGTTTCTATGGAAAGTTAATGGTAGCTATGAAATTAAATGGTTCCTATAAAAATCACTGTATGCTATGGAAAACAATAAATGCTAGTGGAGTAAATGGCTTCTATTGAAGTGACTGGTTGATATTAAATTAATTGTCTTGGAAATCAATGGCTGCTATGGTACATCAATAGTTGAAGAAAAACACTTGTTCATAAGAAACTCAAACTTTGCTAAGGAAAAAGAACGGCTGATGTGAAAAAAGGTTTCTTGCTTAAGAATGTAAATGGTCGTTTTTGAAGTCACTGGTTAATCTGGAATGTCCACGATTTCTATGAAAGCCACTGGTTGCTATGGAAAGTCAATCGCTACTACAGAAACAACTAGTTTGCTATTGCAGACACAAGTTGCACTGAATAAACTGGAAACCTGGACATTGTAAAACGCTGATACTACTAGAAACCTGAAAATCATGATGGACTGAAAGTTTCGAAAAGTACTGGAATTACCGGAAGCCTGAAATATTAAAGCACTGAATATACTGGAAAACCTGAAAATTGGAAGAACTGCAATTACTAGAAACATCGAAGTTAGGCAGCATTGAAAGTATTTAAAACCTGAACATATTGAAGAACTCAACCTGAAAACTGACGCACTGGAAACACTGGAAACCCTTAGATCGTGAATTTTTGGACACCTGAAATGACTGGTACTTGAAAATTGTGAAGGACTGTAAGTACTGATACTTGTAAATTGTGACGCACTAAAATTACTGGAATTGAAAAATCGTGAATCTATGAAAGTACTTGACATACGAAAATTGTGACGCACTGAAAGTACTGATATTTGAAAAGCGTAAATGTTTTTTTAAACAACCGTTCGCAGAGATGAGTCAAAATCATTCACAATATTGTGTTGGACAATTCCAAAATTTACAAAAAATATTTTATAATTAAAGGAACTCCTGTGAGAACGAAAAGTCTAAAATATAAAATTTGAATATCTTATATAGATCAATTTGAGCACTTTTACAGAAAAAAATGTTAAGAAATAACCTCAGAGGTAAGCTCAAAATTGTATTTTGCTTTTTAATTGTTTTTTTTTTCAACTTTCAGTCATTGTTCTCAGTTAGAATATTTGGTCTGGAAGCAACAGAGACCTACATTTAATGGAACAATAATCCAAAAAAGTATTTCCAGTCCCGTCATGTCTAAAAACCTGAACTGAGTACCTTGCAAAGAGCGAGAGGTACTCTAAATTATTTAAATACTCAAATATTTCCATGGAGAAATTGGCTCGTTTGAAATTATTTGCTTGTTTCGACCTAAATGTTTGACGCTAAATGCACGTCGAAAGAAGCAAAGGGTTGAAAAGTTTAAAGGGTCATAACAATACGCTATGAAAGCGAAATGTGCTCACCTGTTCAATATCATTCCACCAAGCTGTAAAAACATTTTGTTGTATTGCACTTGTTGTTGATATATGACTTATCTGAAATAAAAGCTCAATCTGACTTACCTGCAATAAGACCTAAAATTATCGAAATCAAAGGTAACAAAAGCAACCCTCACCCTCTTTCCTGATTCCATACCTCCAACGCGGAATGTTTCATGACCAAAATGATAGCTCGAAAAAATTGCATAGGAAATGTCGGGAAAAATCATATTTAAGATGTTCAT